CTCCATTTCTGTCCTGTTTGACATGCCCTGTACTGGACAGACAACAACTCTACCTGCTCTGCCAGCAATATCACACCTTCCCCATGCCCACTGCAAGCAGAACGATGCCACTCTCCACATTTCAAACAGCTCCTGGATAAATCCAAAGGGGGACACGCCCTTAGAGAGGCAGAGCAGCCCAGACAGTACTTACACGTGCTGTTCAAAGATTTTATCTGACCAGATCCAGTTTATTTTTCACTAGCATGACTTGTCCAGGGAGGAATCACCCTCCAGCTTCAGCTATCAGGGTCTCTCTGAGAGCTGCAGGCAGGTGCACAGCAACCCAGGGGCAGACCTAAGGGCAGGAACAGCTAACACCAGAGAAAGGCAAACCACTCCTCTCTCCCAGGGTGGTGAGCCTGGGACAGACATCTCATCAAGAGGGACCTTGGCCATCTTCTCTGTGAGCTTTGCCCTCTGCTGCCAGCACCAACATACAGGTGCTTCCAGGCGGGATTCCCAAAGTCTTCGTACACAGGGACCCAGAGTTGCCAATCCTGTTGCATCTGCAAGTGAATCATCCCCCAGGTCTGTGGCTCCAAAGAAAGACCAAGTTTCTCCTTGGGAAGGGTGCTCAGGCCCTCTGAGGCACTTTGCCCAAAGAAAGGAGGAGATGATCCTGCTGACAGCCAGTTCCAGCACAGTGACCAACATAAGTGCCTGCAAAAAGGCTCCACAGTGGCCCACATGCCCAGGAAGAGGCTGACATGGGCATTACAGCCCCTCTGCTTTTTACTGCAGAGAGACAAGAACAGAGGGTCCTGCTGCTACAGCCCATCCCCAGGCTGCTTTTACTGTTCTTGAGTCATGACCCCACACACAGGTCATGCTGCTCAAAGAGAAATCACAGGGGAAGCAAATATGCCAAAACAGCCTGTTGCTTCTGTGACCCTTGCTGTGTATAAACCAAAAGGGTTGCAGACAGCAGCAAATTCCAGGAACAGGTGATGGCTTTTGATTTTACTGCCTGCTCTTTCCCAAATCCAGTTCTCAGCAAGGAGTTGCAGGACACAGGTTAACCTACGAGAGAGCCAAAGTGGTAGCAAGCATCAGAAAACTGGAGTGTGGCTGAAAAAAGCTGAAAGAGACCACTACAGACTGGATGCACATTTCTTGGAGGACTTTAAGAGGGGAAAAAAAAAAAATTAAATGTATCTCTGGATTTCAGAGCCCTTCCCTTTCCATGATGGACCAGCACACCAGAGCCACATCCTTGTAACAAGTCAACAGGTTTCTGGATATGATTCTGCAAGCCAGATACAGTATTAACCTTCTCTCTGCAAGAAACTCTGACCACTTTGTCAGCTGAAGAAAAAAGTATTTGATTCCTCCTCCCCCCCTGCAGTGCTGTATTTGCAGATGTGGACCAGCACCCAGCAGCCACACAGGACCAAGGAAAGGAAATACAGTGGGTACCACATATGCAAAACAAGAAATGCTGCTTTCCAACCACCAGACTTCAGCATCCCATTGAAGCATCACCTCTCAGCAGAGGCCAAATGTGCAAATTGCAGTTGAAAAGGAGAATATCTCTGAAAGCTCAAAGCACGTGAACACAGCAGGCTGGAACGGAATCCCCAAGTAGCTTCACTTTAATATTACTACCAAACCAATGGCACAATGAGGAAGGGACAGACTGGGAGCTTGGGGAACAACCACTCTGCTCAGCACAACTGATAAAGGGAGATTAATCGTCCAGTTCCTCCCATCAGGCACAAGGGTTCAGGGCTTTGGTGTAAAACTCCATCAAACGAGACCAGCATTCTGACATTCCAGGATGGACAGAGGACACAGTGTGGGGTTTTGCACAGGCCTTATTTCACAATCAAGCCCTTTGCCTCTGCCACTCCTGGCAACAGAGAGACTATGAGAACCTTCTCAACCCAGCACACAGGCTTTGAAGGGTCTTTGCTCATGTATCTGCACAAAGCAGGGACCTTGGGGCCTTGTATGTAGGTTCTAATGTTATTATTATCAAAAGGAATAAAGAGGGACATGGTGAAGTAGAAGGCAGCAAAGCAGCCCAGGGAACAAAGGGAGGAAGAGAGAGAGAGAGATTACAGCAGCAACAGGGAGGACAGAAAAGCAAATGGACAAAGTGCATGTGAAAGAATAGAGCCAAGGAGATCCACATCCACGTGAGCAGGCGGGATCGTGCTGGAACACGTGAGCATGTGCATGCAAGAGAGGGTGCAGACACTCACACGGGCGGGTGCAGCCCTTTGCAGCTCCGAGTCCTTCAGCCCTGCTGCAGGTTTGCAGCCTGGCACTGCCTCCCCAGGAACACCCCCAGGCACACACAGGACCCCCATGGCCCAACTTTCTCCATCCAGTCCAACAGCCACTCGGTACTGCTGGCAGTGAAAGATCCTCACAACCAACAAAACGCATAGACACTGGCTCTGTGTGCGCTCATCAAGGCCACCCCACCTTCCCAAAGCAGTTCCACACTTGGAAAAAGGGGAGAACTGGAAGCACACACGTACAGTCACACTCCCACTTTCCTTTGTGGCTTTCTCTGCCTTTGTCACCCTCACACACCTCAACTGTTTGCATCCTGCTCTCTGTCACTACACTGCAGACCCCTGGTCACTCCGAGCTCACTCTCCCCTTGTCTCTGGGCTGCTTCGCTTCCTTCTCCACACTCCTTTCTAGCTTGTTTGATGACAGACACATTAGGACCCATTCACATCCCCCAAAGTCCCCAGCCTAGAGCCCACCACCCCCAAGCCATGCAGGCCATTGCAAAAGTGCTGAAATCCCAAATTGCACAAACATCCCCTGTGTGCTGCCACGCCAGTCTCCAGGCCCCCACTGCTCCAGATAGACACTGGACTGCCTGAAGCCAACTAGGGAGGACTGCATTGCAGACAAAATGTGTTCCTTTGTGTACTACCCTCCAAACCACCACCCTTCTCAGGCTGCTGGGCTGGCAGCAGCCTCAGGCAGAGTTTGGGCATCCAAAGCCAAGCAGTGTCCAGCCAAGAAGCCACTCTCCCCCTCGCTGGTCTCAGAGCTGTACGTGTCTTGCCACTCCCCTCTCCCATCAGACCTCTCAGTGACTTGACACCAAAACTCACACCTGAACATGCAGTCACTGTGACTCCAAAACTGAGTAACAAGACACAGCTGCCCTGAGCAGGGCCAATACCAAACTTTTGAGAGGTTCAGGACCAAGCCAGACACAAGCACTGCACCTGCACAGTTCTTGGGCCCCCGTGGTGGGTGGCACCAAGAGCATCAGTCCACGAGACAGCTTTCCTCATGTTGGTGCACAGACAGAACTCACACACAAAAACATATGAACTTATCAATCACTTCAGGCATTGGCTAGAAGAGGACAAAGAAATCTGTTGTTGCTATTTCTATATATACTGGGGAAGCACCAGATAGCACAGTGATGGACTAGATATAAAAAAGATAGGGATGAGTCTCAGTACCAGCCTTTCATTGCTCACAAGGGAAACGCACGTGCTGCCTTGTGGAAACCAGGACCAGACACTGTGTCCTACCTCTGCCTAAGCCCACCTCAGCTGCAGTTTAAAGAAAAGGCCTCCCACCATGGGGCTTCATGGTCCCTCCCTCTCATTTCTATTTCACAGCAGCTTTTCACAACCAAGGCAGTGCTTACTATGAACAACACAGGCTCAGCTGCAGGATTTTCTGCTTCTGGGACAGCCCAAGGTTTGGAAAATGCCTCCCTAGAAGCAAACTTGACTGGAGTCTGTGCCCAGGAACTGAAGGGAGATACTCAGCATGGTCACAGGTCAGACCCTGACCTGCCAGAACTCTGAAGAACTGAGGCTAATTCACATCAGCTGAGCAAGCAGCTCATTGCCTGCATCCAGCCCTGCTTCCCAAGGGTTGTTTTCCAGCACTCTGGTGTTTCTCTAGCTTCTCCCAACAAACACCATGTTCTGGCAGCATCACAGGCAGTGCTGTGCCTCTGCCCTGCACAGCCTGAGTGTGCCTTGGCCATCTGATCCACAGGACAGAAACCTCATCTCCCACTGCCCAGGTCTGATGAGGGCTCTTTGCCAAGGGCACTAAAGGGTGTTTAACTGTCCTGTAGTGGGTCTGGCTGGGAAGGAGTTAATTTGCTTCACAGCAGCTTATATGGTGCTGAGTTTCAGATTCGTGGCCAAAACAAAACCAATAACACACTAATGGTTTAGCTACTGCCAAACTGCAGTGTCAAAGCCTCCTCTGCTTCTCACTATGCCCCCAGCAAACAGACTGGGGATGCACAAGAGTTTGGGAGTGGAGAAAACCAGAGAGATGACCCAGACCAACTACAAAGCTATCTAATGACATGCTGAGCAATAAAAAGGGAGAGGAAGGAGCTTAGTGAGCCACCTTTAATTCAGGAACTGCCTTGGCATCAGTCTATCTACAGAACGCAGTGAGTGTTTGCCTTTGCATCCCTTGTCTTAATTTTTCTCTTCTTTCACTTCTCCTTCACTTATTAAATCAGTTTTACCTCAAGCTAAAAGTTTTCCTCTTCCTTTCCTTTTCCCATGCCCCACTTGGGAATGAGGGAGTAAGCAGGTGGCTGTGTGGTGCTTAACTGCTTAGCGAGGTTATTCCACAGCAGTTCCAAAACACATGGCAGCACCACTGCAGGCCAGGTTCACAGCCAGAGCAGAGGAAGTCAGACTGACCCTTTCTGAATGCATTAAATAGAAAACAGCAGCCACGGCACAGTGAGAAGCTGCCAACTCTCCTTGCACAAAGCTTTGAGCCCCTTCAGTCCCATGACACCAGCTCATATCTCCTGTCCTGGAGCAGCCAAGCACCACCCACCTCCCATCTAGTCCACTAAAACACATTAGCACTGTAGGTGCAAAACCAATTAAAGCCTCAACCGATGGTTCCAAACATCCTTCCCAGCCAGACACGGGTCTCCCATTGCACAAAAACATAAACAGCTTTTTCAGGCAAAATCCATAAATGCTCACCTGTGGTGGCTACTCCAGCCAGAGAAGGATCAGTGCTTGCACTTCACTTCATGCCTCCATCGCTTTGTGATTACCAAGGAAGGGGGGAGCAGCATCATCCACCAACACAACAGTCAGTTCTCTAGGCAGGACTTCACAGCTCCAGCTCACAAGCTCGTCTGCCTTAGCTAATCCATTGCCAAATCCTGGGCAAGGCAAGGCAAGGCAAAGCAAGGCCACGTCTACATCTGCAGGGTCAGCCACAGTCCCTGGTCACTCATCCCATGGTCCAGGGGGGCTCACAGTTGCAGACCTGGTCCACTGCATGTCTGGGGCTCATCCCTTGCCCACACCCCCAGCTGACCAAGGCACTGCCATCAGCCCCCACCACACCTGCTGTGGAGGCTGCTCCTGTCTTGCATGGCCAGGAGAAGCTGGACCAGATGAAACCCACCCAAGGGTTCACCTGAGAGGAGAACTTGGGCGTCAAAGCAGAGAGAAGGGATTTGGGAAAGACACGCTCGCTCCTGAGCCTCAGCGAGACGAGCAGAGCCATTGCCCAGTGGAGGACCCTAGTTCTAATCTCACCTCTCACAGCACCTTTCAAATTAATTGGTTAATTGGCACGCCGGGCTGTGCATACGAAAGGAGGAAGGATGGCTCCCTCTGCCGGCACCGGCCCGAGGAGGAGACCCCCGCCCGCCCTCCCTCCCCTCCGGCACCCGGGGACCACCCGGACCCCCGCCCGTGCCGCCTCGGGGGCTCGGGGACAAGCCCTGGGCAGAGCTGAGCTCGCACCTCCACAGCATCCCAAAACTGGCACGGGAAGAGTCCCCGTCTCCTGCAGCACAGGTGAGGATGCCCAGTGAAGGAGTGCCCTGCCCTCGGACAGTGCTGCTGCAGCAGGAGTTTTGTTGCAGAAAATACCGTGCCACTGGGGAACAGCCCGGGAGGGCTGTGGCGAACGGGTGTTCAGCTGACTTTTGAAAGTTTAAGCAGGGATGTAATTTCTTAAGGACTCTGCTGATGCTCAGCTATTCCTACCTGCCATCAAAAGGTTCAGCTGTATTTCATAAGTGGGAAGGCAGCCAAGCTCAGAAAGCTGGTGAAGTCCAGCTCCCAAAGCAGCCCCCTCCCTCACCTGTATGTCCTCAGCCTTCTAGACTCCAGTGACAGGGGAAACAATTCCCTCTCCCACACGAGCACAACACTGGCACCAACAGCCACGTGCCTTGTCAGGGCTGTAACAACAGGGGAAAAAGCACATTTTCACACTGCTGAAAAACAGAATAGTGAAAACCCAGAAGGACTCAAGGGCGACTGGAGTTTGGTGGTGGGTGGGGGGAGACAAAACAGTGCCCTGTTCCAGGTTAGCAGACTCATTTGCTCATGGTTAGTATGTGCCATCTCAAACTGCTCCTCTCTAGAGAGGGTGATGAGGACAGGAGGAGGTGCTCTGAGCTTAGGAGCCACTTTTAATGACAAGGATTACTGGAGAAACAGCATTTTGGGGATTTGGGATTCCGGGAAGCAGCTGCAGTAGGAGCAGAGGGAGATAATCCCAGTGTGACAGACAGAGACGCAAGGAAGCAGGACTGGGGAAGGGAGCACAGCATCCCCAGGCACACATACACAAGTTACTGTCTTGCACAGCCATTCCAGAGCAGGAGGAAGACATCAGAACAAGGGCCTGGCCCAGGGTTCCCAACACTCCTTCTGTCCCGGGATGGCCAGACCAGGAGGGTCTGAGCCTTAGGAGCAGCCAAACCTTTATCTGCCCTCCCCAGCTCTGGCTGGTATGAGGACAGAGCCAGAGGAGCCACCTGCCCCACAGCCTGCCTTCAGGAAGCCCAGGCTCCCTGGCCAGCAAGGGGCATCCAGGCTCTGCCCAGGAAGGCAGCAGGGGTCACCAAGGGGGCAGATCCAGGCCAGGGCCTGGGGAACACACACCCCAAGGTACCCAGCTCCAACACCTCTTGGGTGGGCATGGGGCCTCAGACCTCCCTGTGCTGGGGTTTGCCTGCACACAGCTCCCAAGTGCCAGACCACAGGGAAGGGCAGCAGTGCTCAGGAGAGAGCCCAGGGACAGGTGGGTGTCACCCACAGAGGCTGTGCTGAGTCCCCAGTGCTGCCATGCACAGCAAGGGGACGGGGCTGCCCCAAGGCTGGGGCTGCAGAGCCCAGGAGGGGCTGAATTCTGCACAGCACTGGACACAGCTCAGCTGTGGGAGTGAGCCCCTTCCTGCCAGGCCAGTATCAGGATCATATCATACCCTCCTGCTCTGACTCAGTTTTGCAATCAAAACCTCGGGGAAATGCCAGCCTACCAGAGCAGTGCTCAGATCCTGTGCTTGCTCCTGCAGCTGCTGTTTCCAAATGTCTCACATCCTTGGTCTGCTGGGTGCACACCACTACCTGCACCCACATGCACACACAGGCTCCTGCCAAAAGGCAGGCAGAGCTTTTGAGGCTCCATTTATTGCCCAAGATGTTTCTATGGCGACTCCCTTCACATCCCATCATTGGCTGCAGAAAGCTTCTGGCCATCAGCAGCTTCAGGTGAGTTGAGGGCCTTGAGCTTTGAGTCACCTGCAGTTAATGCCACTGGCTACAGTCAATTAGGAAGAGATTAACAAAATCCTGGCTGAAGTGGCAATGGTGAGTGAGGCAGTGTCAGCAAGGAAAGAGGAGTGAGCCCATGTCTCCTTCCCCTTGTGTTCTCTGTAGCAGGGAGGAGGAACAAAGAGGGGTAGGGGGTGTCTGCAAAAGGCTGTTGAACAACCAAGTCTGCTTTCATGATTCCCTGAAGGACTTCCCAATCAGCAAGGCTCACAAAACTGTCACAGCCAGAGCACAGGACCACCTTGTTCCATGAAGTGACATACCCTGACACATCACTGCCCAAACCAGGGGCAGGATGCTCCCAGCTCTGCTGGGTACCTGGCTGAATGCTTCTACAGGACAGCTACAGATCTGTGGCTGCTGCTGACAAACACCAGACCCAGCATCACCTCTATCGTACCCACAGCTTCCATCATCACCCAGTCAGGGCCAAATTCAGCACAGGTGACAGCAGTGACAGTGTGAGACAGGCAAGGTTGCTCTGTTTGGGGAGCAGACCTTGCCCTCAACAGTGTGACAGCAGTGCTAACAGGCACTTTGCCCAGAGCCGCAGTCCTGCTGAGTGTGAGCTAAGGCATGGCTCTCTCACTAGGACCTGAAATTAGGAAGTGTAGCACCGAGTGGAATCAAAACTGAATGAGCTCTGCTGGGCTTTTTTTCCAGGCTCACGGATGGTACTGCTGGAGTAGGAGTGAGGGGTAAGGAAGTGAGTAAAAGCAGGGCAGCAGAACAGGGCACAGCAGGCAGAGAGAAGGCAAGTGCAGATTTCCCAGACAGGAGCAGCAGGGCAGGACTAGAAACACAGAAGTGCTGCCTTTAGCTGAAAAAATGTCATTAGGTTGCAACGAGTACTGTAACCTTCCCTTGTGTTTAGTGAGCTGTCCTGAGATCTGGCACCCAGCAGAAAGGACACACTTTCTGAAAAGCACCTTGATTTTCAGCCTGTAGTTGTAGCAGCAATGAATGATCTAGTCAAACCAAGCCATTGGGCTGGAGCAGATGGACCAGCTTTGGGCTGGAGCACAGACGGACCAGCTTTGGGCTGGCTGCCTCTCCTATGCCCAAGGGCACAACTACCCCCACTCTCAAGAAGAACAAGGCAGGGGCCTCAGCTTAGCAAGGTCTGTCCCCCACCTTTCCACCTTTTGCTCAGAGGCCTTCTAGGGCCTCTGGGGAGACCTGTTCCCAGCTGGTACCGGGGTGCACACTCACCTCCACCGCACTCCCCATGCTGGGCACCGGTGGAGAGGTCGGGTCAACCCAGTGCAGAGGCAGCACTGAAACCCAAAGTTTGAAGGAAAAAAACATGCTCAGCCACCGAGGCACAGGCAGCCCTGGACAACCCATGCACTGTGAACAACCTCTTCTCATGCCCCTACCTCCCAGCAGAGCCCTGTATCCCCATTTCCTTTACATGCACCAGGTAACACGAGCAGCAAAGGGAGCTCTGCAGCTGCCGTGGGCTCTGCACCCAGCTGCCAGCTACCACCTGCCCACAGGCCCTCAAATGAGAGAAGAGAAGGTGCTGCAATGCTGTTGAAGAGCTGAGACAGGAAGAATCTTGCAGGAAGAATTCCAACCACACTGCAAGAGGATCAGAGGAACAGCAGCACCCAGAAGATACACAGCTTCCATCAGAAAAGAAAGAACCCAGACCCTCTGCAGGAGTCCCAGTCAGCCTTGTGCAATGAGGGAAGGCAGAGACTGGTGGAGAAAAATCCCCTTTTGCTACCCAGATATTGTCCTGGAGAACCAGCACTAAAATGTCATCCAAAAACCCTTCCTCAACAGGATAACACAGAACTCTCTAACACAGAACTCCCTTCTCCCTCCACAGCACAAAGGACAGTGAAAAGAAAGAAAATGAAGGGGACACAGAGCCAAGCTGAAGTAAAGTCTGGACTAGTCTCTGAAAGCAGAGTTGTTGCAAAGGGTAAGATTGAAAATTACTGTAATGTGCTGTATTCCTTTTATGGATTTTGCAAATAATAGAAAGTGATGACTAAATGAAAAAGAAACTCTGAACTGGGAGGATGGGTCTCTGCAGTGGCTACCAGCAGGAACAGAGAGCCCCTCACCTGACCCCTCCAAAGCTCTCTGAAGCAGAAACTAACCCACAAACTAGACACAACTGCAGAAATAGATACCCCCCAGCCCATGCTAGGTGACTGGTGAGTCCCAGTCCCAGTTCAACCCCATACTCCAAGTCTTCACGGGAGCAGGGAAGGCTGACAGGTAGCAATTTGCTGCCCAAATCCAGACAAAAAGACTTGGCTTTTCTGCTGGGGTGGAGGGAGGACTGTGCCTCACAAGCAACACAAGGGACATGCAGTTGTGAGCCCTGTGGGTGCTGGAGTAGCCAAGCCCACGGGGCAGAGCTCTGTCCCCTCACCTGCAGCCCTGGGCAGCCACACACAGAGCCCTGAGCACAGGGTGACCCAAAGGAACCCTGCCCACTGCAGAGCAAG